AAAAATTAACTCGTCGTGGAAATACGTCGCAGCCTTTAGTCTTTATCTCATGAATAAAAGGCGGGACAATTTCCTTAACTAAAGATAAGGGGCGGGGTTTCTTTGTTGTTTATAGTCTAATGGACCAAGACATGATTTTACGCGATGTGGTTATAGGGCGACCAAGACCGTCAGTCTATATTTTAAAAAGCCTTTTTGGACAGCTAAAAATGTGGATGGATTTCTATACGTATCAGTCACTTTGACCGGCTGACATTTACGTTGCTTAGCAGTCCGTTATCACTCCTGGTTGGTCTCGTAGAGAGTGATTTTTTTGGTATTTAGTAATGAAATGTTTTTGCTTGAATTTTATACCTCAGTTTCTCGAACGTTTTAAGTGTAAATGCTAAGCATTAGTTTTCCAGGAACAAGTTTGTCTGGTGATCACTACTGTTTGCCATTCTTAACCGACCACATTTGTAACCGAAAGTAAATCTACAGGCTTTCATATGCCGGGTTAACGTTTAGCGACTACTGAAAACATGATTATTGTTGGTCAGATTTCGTTGGTGGAAGCATCTATGTTGTTAGTCATAACATTTTCCTTCAAGTCTTGGTGCAATAGTTTGGACCAATTTCATTGGTTAAACCGATATGGTTTTGTCTCAGCCGATAATCTCTTATACATACAAAAATGTATTTCTTTAAACCTTTGGCGCTCGTATAAAAAAGTCTTCCATTCAATGCGTTAGTCAATTCAAGCAATAACCATTCCAATTCCTATCCGCGCGTCTTCTCACACCCTTGTGTATGTGACGTAACAGTGTCCTAACTAGCTAATTCCTAGTGAAAAGAGATTGGTTAAAAAATAGCAGCTAACTCTACTATATTCAATTTCAACATCACATTAGCCCAGGTTCGAAGAATTCCCCCTCTTGGTTCGGTGAGCTCTATCTGAAATGACGTCAGAGCCTTTGTTTTCAACAGACCCTTTTACCGATAACGCGACCATGTTGAAGACTATTCAGAGGGCACATGTTTATATTTATTTCCATGAAACGCGTTTACTTGTTGGCGAATTCAAAGAAAGTTTGTTCCACGTGGATTCCAATAAGATTTTAAAGGCGATTTGGTGCCTTGTTTGAGTGTCGGTAAAAAGGTCTGTTTTAGGGCCTGTTTACATGAAGGTGGGGGACCCCAGATTGGTGAGGTAACATGTGGCGGGTCACCCCACCTTTCATGTAAACGTGATCAAACTAAAATGAGAGATTTTATGGACAGGCGGGTTACCTCACCTGACTGGGGTCCCCCAACTCCATGTAAACAGGCTCTTAGAGCAAGGGAGAGGAAGAGGGATGGAGACCGCTCGAATTAATCCACGCATGATGTAAAAAAAAAATGATGGGACTGAAACTTTCTCTTTTTACGGAAACTAGAAGCTTTGGAGGGTTACTTTAAAGGACTAAATGAAAAAAGCAGTCTTCCGGGGTACTTGTTCTCGAGAAAGTATTAGCTCTTTATCGCCTGTGTGGTCGGGCGATACACTGGCAAGTTTGCCTCGTTTGGTGGATCAGCCTCGGCAGATATCTGAGTGGTGCTGATGTGATCATCATCGTTTAGTAGTGACATCTGCATTCGTGGACGACTAGCACTCGGTAAAGTCAGTCTACGACGTCGATACATGAACACAATGGCAAAAACTATAACAAAGACCAAGAGGATTCCAGCAGCACAGGGAAGGAGGATTAGGTAGAGTTTCGCCTCTAGGGATAAACGGAAACGATCTAAGTCAGTTCCACGCGCAACAACAACAAGAACAACAAAAGCGTTTTTAAAACACAACTGCCTGTCATTAAAAAAATATAAAGGTTCCGTTCCGTAGCTTGCTTTCTGTAAAATGCTAACTACGCCATATTTTTACTGTTCCTATTTATGATATTTGACGGTGTATAATTTCTCATACACCGTCAACAAACTAATGACCAGGAGGTCAATTAAACATTTGCAAAGTGTTTGGTCAGGTAAGCCGCAAGGGGCGTTACCTCATGGATAAACGAAGGTTTAGGAGTAAGGATTAGCGCAGTCGGTAAAAGCGCGGCAGTTCTGTGCGGGAGGTTCCTTAGTTCGATTTCCAAGTGTGACCTCAAATCCCTGCTTCGACTTCTTTCCATTTCGTGTATCTTAAAGAAGCACTGATAGAGAGAAGAGCTAAAATGAGCGCACCCTCGGCCTCAGGCTTGTCAGTTTAAATACTGTTACGAGTTACCGACGTCAATTAAAGACCTCTATGGCCTCTCTACAGGACCTTTCGTTCTAAAATCTGTGTAGACTCTTTCCGAGAAATGAAAAGACCAGACATCAGTTAGAGCGTAATTCTCAAAGTCTGTATGTTACCTTATTATTTTTGTGCCCCTGCACTGGTATCATAAGTGTTTGCTCAACACGGTGATTGGTTTTTAGCCCATTATGGACCCTAGGTATGACAAGTCACTAGAACATACACTTTATTTTGAAATGACAAAATACAAGATATTGAGAGGCATGTTACAGGCACAGGCATGTTTACTACTGGAGTTCACGTGAACCTGAACCAGGAGATCGTCACGACCCCCCGAGAGACTAAACTTGTAATGTAACGAACCTACCAGGGTCATTGACGGACTGACCGGGGCGTAGCTAAGGGGGGGGGGGGGGNGTGGCGAAAACGCCATGACAATATCTTGGCCATAAAAGCCATTGTTGAAAAGCCCACTTTTTTAAAATTTGTTTTTTTTAAAAGTATTTTCGTCAACGGCTCTTGTCTTTAGTTAATATGGGCGTGGAAGTCGACATGACAATCTGGTGAGTAGCCTCTGTGACCCCCCTTTTGAAAAATCCTGGCTACGCCCCTGACTGATACACTTCTCCGGGACCCTAACGTCCTAATGAGGAAAAGAAATCGAAGAATTAAAAAAAATTTAATTACCTTTGGAAAGAGTGGCCTTGAATCCATTGCTGTCATAATTTGATTCTCCAACAGCAGATCTGAACTCCACTGTCAAGCTGTTTCCAGAGGTGTAGTACACCGGTTGAACGATTCTTTCACCGCAGATTGTATCTAAAACTTTGCTCTCCTCGGACGACCCATCTAGCAACATCACACTATCTTCCCGGCAATCAGAGTAATGGCTAGATATTTTCACCTTTGTGAATTGTATCTTGATGCGAAATCCCGAGGGAGCAACCACCGACCACTTGAAGTACGAATTCCTCGGGTATCTACCTGGATACATTGGACTAGAGATCTCCGCGCCTGAGACCTCGCCCAGATCAACCTCTACAACAAAAAACCGTATTACCGTATTTATTCCATTAACCGCCCTGGGCGCTTATTAAATTTTTGGACCTTGAGAGTGGGCGCTTATTCGAGGCTGGGCGCTTATTAACATTTTCTGCCTTTAGGATGGGCGCTTATTCGAGGTGGGCGCTAATTCGAGGTTGGGCGCTTAATCGAAAAAATACGGTATTATCTAAACTGCTTAGTTCACTAATTCAAGAACGAATGGGGTGAGGATGGGGAGGATTTAACAGTCATAGAAAGTATCGATGCCGGAAGAAATCAAATTACCACAAGAGAGAATTTTACACAAAAGGGGGAAGGATAAAACGGGAAAAAGTGGAATTATCTTCACCATTGAAGGGTTATTGTTATTCTAAAACACAGCTCACAGCAAGCTTTTGTTTCCCCAATCTTCCACTGCGTTAAAGTTAAGATAGCTACAACACACAGGAAATAATGGGGGTTGACCTGCCCCAATAAGCTTCTGCCAGCACTTCAGTGCGGACCGGACCTGGGGAACGAATACTAGCAATTCAGTGTAACATAATTTTAACCATTCATATTTTAAATGTACTTACTCTTTTCAAATGGTAGCGTTGTATATTTCGCTGTGAACCAACTCTTATGATCGCTTTCTGACAAACTGAAGTTCACTAAGAGTGAACTTTTGTTAGTTGCAACTGCCTGCGGCATTTTACTTTGGCAGTAGGTTTTCCAGGGTTGGTCGCCAAAACTGTCTTTTAGCTCTATGCGGGTTCTTTGGCTTCCGCATGTCAGGTTAGAGCCGGTACCGTCAATGTTATATGATTCGAAATAGAGAATAATCCTTAGATCCTTAGGAACAGTTATCAGCCAAGTACAGAAACCAGATTTACCCTGATCAGGGCTGGATAACTGACCGGAAAGCTCTGTAAGAAGCTTATGGTCCTCTCTACAAACTAGGAGCAAAAAAAAATGGATTATGTGAGTGTTATAACCTGAGCTAGTCACCTACGCCAGCGCGAAAGGTTGTGAGACCAAGCATACTTTGTAAAAGAGGTGAATCTGATATCCACACCTTATTTAAAACGACACTGTCTAAAATTCTTAAATGCGACTTATAGAGTTCTAAGAATTCTAGTCTGTATGAGGACAGGCAGAAAAATAAAGGAAATTTTACCTGGACAAGGAGAGTCAACGAATATACTACTAGTCTCTCTGTCAAAAATTCTAAGTGGTTAAAGTGATAGCATGATCGGTGACAGAACGGTCTTTTTAAAAGTTTTTTTGTGAAAAGTCATTGGGACAGAGAGGAAGAGTGCATCTCGCTCAGATATGCTGCTCGATTTGTTGACGGACCTTTCGGTATTATTAAATTAATATTGACACCACAAATAAATTACCGAACCATTCCATTCCTGCTGGCGGGGGCAATATAAGGCAAGTCTCATCTGGGGCGAAGGGAGGAATACGACATCCCCACCTGTCATTTACCTTACCCCGGACCGTGTCAAGGTGGTATGCGTTGCAGACGCAGTTTTTAAAATTAAATATGGGGATAGAGACAAACGATACGCGCATGAGCGGTGGATATGTCCATCTCTCACACGTCATGGCCCATTCTGTACCTTTGTAATTTGCACTATACATTTTTCATGCGCCAAGTATGCAGGCTACACTCGGCTTTAATACTTCGCTCAGAATCCTTCACCTGCAGAACGCTTACGTAATGAATAACCGAAGCCAGAAAAATATTTCATCTCGTTGACCCTGAAGCAACAAACGCAGGGCAAGAATCACACGAGCATGCTCACGTTACTTTCATCAACGCCGTCTGTTTAAGAGACTGTGCTACATTTAATATCTTTATATAAAAGTGTCCGAATTTAGTAACTTAGACAAAAAAAAAACAGCGCTGTACGTAGTATTTGTGACAATCTGAGATATTTGTATCGTTTTTCACAAATAATTTGCAAGAGTGAGAGAGAAACAACCTACCTCCTAAGGACACTTCAGAAGTAGTTGACAAAAACAGAACTAAAGTACAAAGAAAAAAACCCGTTAATAATAGCGGAAACTCTGTACAGGTTCCTATAAAGGCGACACTAGACTGATTTGTCACGCACCGGTTGTTAATTATTACACCCAAATGCCGCTTAAATGCAAATTCAAGGAGACATGAAAATGACAGCACGACGGAATTGTGATTTAACTCTTTCACTTCATTTATCGAATCTGAAGTAAACCGACAAATTATGTTCAAGTTATGTAAAAAACTACTGCGTAGTCAATCGAAAAGACACTGTGATCGCGATCGTTTATTATGAATAAAGTACAGATGTCAATTTCAATTCCATTTCGGTCACGCTACCGTCCAGATCGCTTCCATGCAGAGTGAAAATGAAATTGAACTTCTTAACAAACTGTTTGAACCGAACAAAAAGAAAATATGGCAGTAAAACAGTGGAACATTTAAGCATTAGTTTTTTTCACATATTCATAACTTCTCAGTAGTTTTTTGATCGGCAAGACTGCCAGCTTATATTTTAAACGCGAAAGTCTGAATCTCTAAGTCAAATCTTTTCACAGAGATGATATGCCAGTTATGCGATCAAATTCTTACTTTTTAGTAGGTTTGTTACCAACATTTAAATGTAATAGATTACTTAAACGAATCTTGAAGCGATAGTTCTCAATATTTAAAAAATGTCTTTGTGGAAGTTTGGACAATGAAATCGCAACCGAACGATCGATAGATAGTTGATGTTGTGACATTTCAGACTTACCCGCCCATATAACCAGAAACATTGCATTGAATGTTTTATCTTAGTACTCTACTCTTCTTTTGCACGTGTGGCGCACAAAACAGGAATACTCTCCGCGTCGTCCAAGAGTTTTAGACAACCATAACCTCCAGCTGAATGCGATCGAAGAGGAACACAGACATGACTACTCAGGCGAAGTCACTTTGCAACGGTTGAGGGGCCCTGGGACCAGTTTTGGGTCAGTCCCCCGCACCCAAATCACTGGTTTTAACGAACCTGTTAAGCTAAAATTTGCTGTAGTTAGGCCCATTCTACACAAAAATTAGAACATTCAGAATACTCTTTGGAAACATAGGTGTCAAGTATTACTCCAACTGGTAATGTAAAATTCCGAAAATAAACCCCTCCATGTATAAGCCCCTCCAAATATGCCCCCCCCCAAACTGGTAACGCAAAATCGCCCCTCCGAATATAAGCCCCAGGGGGCTTCTACTTGGAAATTGCCCTCAAATACAAAGTAAAACAAAGTAATCACGGTTCACTATTATATAAATTTTTATATTTGCCAAATAACTATTACGTGTGCCAAAGATTGCAGTCAGAAAGAGTCACAGTTTATTTCTGTTTCCGTAATTCAGTTTTCACTCTTGGCTTGGATTTCCTTGGTCCATATTACCGTGATCAATTACTGTGACATAAATTTCCTTCCACCTCTATGGTAGCCCAATCTATTTTGAGACGCAAATTTCCCTTCAAGTATAAGCCTAGCCAATTTTGAAACACAAATTTCCCTCCGTATACAAGCCCCTCCAAAAATAAGCCCCTCAAACGTCTTTCAAAAATATAAGCCCCGGGGCTTATTTTCGGAATTTTGTTGCGGTAGCTGTATACGATATCGATATGTGGGTGAATAAGTCTCTCTCTTGCCCGATAATGATTTTGTAGACCTGTGGTTGGATGATAAACATAGTATTTCAGTGGCGATGACTTGAGCAAATTGATATTTTAGCGTTACTGTTCATGCCAGCAGTTTAACGATATAGACAGTCCACAACAAACATATCACATCTCTGCTCAAAATGAATGAACAGTGCAGTGTTTAAGACAAAGAATTGCAAAAAGGTCCGCCAGGACCGCCAGAGGAAGTTTCATAATATTGTACTACTATAACAAATCATAGATGCTTCTTAAGTCGCGGCAAAGGTCACCAGGCTGTACCTACCTTAAGAAAATTGAGTCCTAAGAACTGTTCGAGTTCTAGGTTCCTAGATCAGTAGTTATTTCTTAAGCCATCTCCTTCTGTACTAGCCTGAAATTCATCCGATTGCTTCGAGTCGTTTTCTCCTCTCAACAACTGTTACTGAGGGAGTAATAACGACTCGAAGTAATCGGATGAAATTCAGGCTACTTCTGTACCTAACCATTCAGTCAGACTAGAAAACAGCCGACGTTTCTCAGGCATAACTTAAGATCACTTTTTTGGTTTTCAATCTGCTGACGAGAGTAAGGGAAATCCGCAGAGCTGTAATATAACTTGTTAAATGAAGGGTTTAATGAGCATTTAATGTCCTGTTACATTAATAGGTATCAACATCGACTAAGGTTACAAAAATATGCCCCAGCCTACAGTTACAACTTTTTACGACGTTATTTTTGGATTACTGAATTAGTCAATGCAGCCTGAGTTAGCCTAAAATGGACGCTGCTACTTAGACAAAAATTCTCACAAATCCCTACTGAAATTCTCGCTGAAAAGGTACTGATTAAATGATTATGTTCTACTGAGTCAGACGGAATCTGATTAACTGATTATGAGGTTCATCTTCCTGACAGTAGTTACACTTCAGCGGTTTTAGCTTTATTTTATGTTACTCCATAGCAAAGAAGACCCAAAAATTATTGTTGGCATTAAGTATTTCAAAACTTATCTCATCTTACATAAAATTACACAAAAGTGCAGGAATACTTCGAAACTATAAGTGTTCGTTTGGGGCCGAGTCGAAAGACAATTTGCTTCTGTTCTACTTTATTACAACTATAAAATTACATTATGACCGTTACGTTTTAAGCAAGCCACCGTTAAATCAGTCCTCTCTTGTCAGACTAACTGTCGAACCAGTTCAAAGGCTGGGCATTGCTAAGAAAATTTGGTTATCTATCCGTCCGAGAAATTTTGGTTGTGACGTCAGCGTACGCCCACGCGAACGTACAGACGCTGGGGGAGGGGGAAGAGAGTTCGAAATCGGCCCGACTGGGAGGTGGATAAAGCTTTTTTCGGCCTCTGGACTATGGTAGCCCACAATTTTCTTGGCGGGAAATAGCATGACTCTCGTCGCTTTGAAAAAGAGCCTTCTTTTTTTATATAGCTTTTTCAAAACAAAGCTATTTACAGTGCTAAATTTGAAGCCTGATTGTAAAATCATTGCTAGTTATGTCAACAAACGAGAACAGAGTAAATATAACGTGCAGACTACAGAACTTAAGTGATGACCAACGAGAAAGAGAAGGGCAGAGAGGATTTTCGGCCGTCGCATGGCCACACGGACAAAAAAACAACAACAACAAAGCCTAGTCTTTCTTTCGACTAAATTGAAATGTCTACATTAACGTGGAAAAGAGAAGAAGAGCTACAGTAAGAAATAAAAAACAACGGGGACCAATTTCGTTGGAAGAAAAACATGAAAATTTTATAGCGGCGGTGAGAAATGGGAAATGCAAGCGGCCACCAAACAAGGTGAAAATGAGTTGCAGTGAAAAGAAAAAATAGTAAATAGGAACACATACAACATTTCCTCCATAAAACGCGTAACTAGGACGTTTCTTGAAAATTCACGTCGTAGGTCGTGCGAAACATCGTCAAAGAAATGTAGAAAAAAGTGTGCTGCACGTGCAAAGTTGTTTTTTTTGCTAATTAGACCTATTTTTGTTTTTTCTCTTTCGTCCTCACCGATTCTTTAGCATTACACGATTTTATATTTTGTTTGAGTAAACTATTGATATCAAAGAGAGCTTCGCTTTTAGCCCTGGCTAAATCTACATATTAGATTAAAAGACCCCGTTGTCCACAGATCAGACCTAGATTTACTTTTAGTCAATAAGTGGACCACTAAGGTCCCTATGTCTATGTATTACTTGGTCAGAATCAGTTTATATGGAACAAGAACTAAAAGCTAAAAAATAAGTCGTTATACAAGTGAACATAACGATTGGCCAGAATGACTCTGGTTAAGAATGTTGGTAAGTTTGTTACGTTCACTGAGGTAACTTTACTGAACAGGAAACCATGTTTGGGTGTTTACAGGTGTCCTGTGTCACCTGTGTCACGTGGCATGGCGGGTATGTTTGTCACACCTTGTGTGTGATCATTTGCTTCTTGATAGGAAGGCGGGATTTCCTCTGTATTCTGCGGTGGTAATTGTGGAGTTGGAATCGGTGCATTGAAGGTTTGTAGTGAAACTACATTTGTGGTTGTGGTAGACCTCGATCCAGTTGGTGTAGCAGAACGCTTTACCTTGGTACATTTAATAACAATGAATATGATGGCAAATAGAACAACTGCTATGACAATAGGCACTGCAATGGCAGCAGCGTTACTTTTCTCTGAAATGTAGAAACACGAGAAATATCACTTATTCTTTTAGATGGTAAGTTTCATCATATAAACTCTTTATTTACCCTGGGCTTATACATCTTCTTAAGGGGTTTTAGAAGGGCTTATAAACATAGGGGCTATATCGGAGGGGGCTTATAACAAGAAAAGAAAAAAGTCCTCTGAAACAAGCCATCGCAGTGCTGATCGAATTCACGCTTCAAAACATTATAATGAATCAAATTCAATTGGATGTAACTTACAGGTACAGTGAGACTCCTATATAACAAAGAACCAAGTGGGAACTGGCAAAATATGTTCGCTATTACGAGGTTTCGTTAGTTTCGTTATGTCGAGGTTCTTTTCCTCATATTTCACTACTCCTGAGGAAACGAATATCGTTCGTTATACTGACAACTTCGTAGTCTAGTGGTTCGTTATATCAAGGATCCACTCAGTGTAGAAGGGTGGGGAGGGGAGGGGAGGGGAGGGAGGGGGGACTTATAAGCGGCAGTTTACGGTACCCTGTGAACGGCTTGGGTTTGCCGTCACTGATGACACCCGGGAACTACGTGAAAAAAACTCATCATTCATTTGTAGTCTTAGAAATGGGATTTTAGCATCTGTTTGAAAAAAGAACATGTCTCTATAATGGTACACTTCCAGCTATGATTAATATGAATGGTCTAGTTAACAGTGAGATAATTTAAGGGAGAGTTATCCCACGCAGTTTTCAAAATATAAAAAATAAAAACAAAATAAACTAGAATTACCTTTTTCTGAAATGACTGTCGCCTGAAAATTGTCGTAGCGGGAATAGCTATAAAAGTACACTGACATTTTGTTTGAGCGAGTAGTCACTGTCGCTGGGTAATGACCATTGCAGAACTTTCCAAGAAGGGAGGAACCCGATGAATATTTACCATTTGAATCTTCATACACCTGTACGTTTCCACAAGAGCATCCAGAGCAGCTTGAGATTGACATACGGACAAAGGTCAAACGAAGGACGTAACCCTCAGCTGTATCAATTTCATAAGAGCATGATCTCCTTGATGACGAAGGGTAGTAGTAGTTGTAGTTTGGACTTTGAATAGTTATCGATCCGCTGGATTTTCCGACATAGATTCCTTGAACAGAAAAAAAAAATCAACAAAAGTCTGTTATCAGTGTGTTAGGTTTAAGTGATCAATGCTAGGGTTAAATTTAAATGAAAGTCTGAAACCGTCACTTTTTACTTTCTCAGCTCTTGTTATTTTTCTCCGGGAAGTACGCTATTAAAACTTTTGGGCAAAAAAAATGTTTCATTTTACACAAACGTTACAGTATCCTTGCCTCTCCATAAGTATCTCAATCAATCGAGACTCTGAGGCAGACCTTAAATATCTTCAAGAATTCAAATAATCCTTTCTGGATGCGATTAACTTCAACAGCTCATAAACTGGAAGTGGTTTCAGTTTTCTTACTCATCGTGTCAGACAGTTTAATTTAGCAATAGTTTAAAGCTCCTATCAAGACGTTCAAAGTCTCCAAGAAATCTTATAGAACACATTGAGGTAAAAGGTTTACTTACGTGTTGTGCGATATGAATTGCAGGTGTAGACTGTGGAGTGGTAACCAGAGGACGGATAAGTAGTCGGAGCCAACGGATAATATGGATACGTTGTTGTCAGAGGACGTGTTTCCTTTTGGTAAAATGCCAGAAATCCTGAACGAGTAGTGGAGCTGTCAGAGTAGAACGTCACACTAACGGATCCGTATCTAGTGATGATGAAAGGGCTTCGAGTACCGCAGCGCTTAATGACATAGGAACTACGCACTACAACGTAATCGCCCCAACATCTACTACTGGATACTGAAGAATACCCTTCTAAGTCGAAATGGGTGAAATTAAATGTTATCTTGTCCCATGACGGCATTGTGAAGTTCCACGTACAAGTCCTGTATTCTGGATATTTCCAAGGGAAGTGAGAACTGTAAATAACGCCAACGGAAGCTGAAGTATCAATCGATGGACAACCTGGACAAACACATTTATATCAATGGTTTGTTTGTAATTCATTTCCCAAAAATGACAGTTTTGATGCCTTTTAACTTAAGTATTGAAAAGCGTTAAGATATCTCGGACCATTTTATTCTACAAATTGTCACATTACATTAGTTAATTCAAAAAAAGTCAAACGCCGGTACAAATGGATTTATTGGGATGTCCGATCATAATTTCAGCCCCAACTTTTTGTTTCGCTCTGCCGCTCTAGGCCCTGTTTACAAAGAGGGAGGGTAACCCTGGTGCTAGGGTTACCCTAGCACTCGCATAGTTCTTCTTTTTTTCACACGACGTGTTTACAAGGTTGGTAGGGTTACCCTAGCGCTTGAATTTAACGAGTTCTCCTTAGAGAACTTCGAGATTATGTCAAATCTTGGACCGTTACAAAGACTGTCACGCATGACGAAACACGTCAACAAAGCTGGTAAAGTTGACCCAGGTGATAGGGTAACCCTACCTGTGAAATTTGCTTGTAAACCAGAGCTAACTTTAACCCTCTTGCTAGAGTAACCCTAGCACAAGGGTAACCCTCTCTGCTTGTAAACAGGCCCTTAAACTTACATAAATTAAGAAAACGGTTTAGAGGCACGCCACAGCCTTATATGACAATTTGGAATTCACTCTTTTTCCACTGTTTAGAACTAGAATGCGATAAAAAATGGCTATTCCTTCCAGAAATGGAGCCATTTATACCAGTATAAACAGCTTACCTTGCTCAAGGTGGTTATTAATAAAATAAAAAGCTCCCCAGAGAAGATTTTCGAGTCAGCGAAGAGACCAACCAAATCTCGGCGCAGCGACGTACGCAGCTTCAGTTTGCAAGAGCTGTTATCAGAATATCGGAGAGTAGAAAATCCTATACCTTTTGCTATTGTTCACTTATCAGACTTATTTCAAAAATGCCATTCTCTTGTGCACTTAGTCAAACGGAAAGTGCGTATAGTTTTTTCAGTTCAAAACGTTTGTACAAAATCTTTGTTTGGCCGGGAATGGACCAGCCGAACACTTTTTTCGTCAAATGAAAGCCATTTAATTGGGGCATTTATTCTGAATAAACCTCACTTAATACTGTCATCAAAATTGTTGTTCTGCTCACTCTTAGCCTCCAACGCCGACGTTCTTAGAGGCTTGCCGGGCGCGTTCCTGCCCCACTAACGCGTGACAAACCCTTGAGAACGTCTGCGGGGGAGACCTGCAGCTCACTCTTTTCCAGAACTGCCTCGTGAATATTTCATTCGGCGCTTTGACACAAGTTCCCGTCAGTCGTCTCCGCTCGAATTTGGGAACCACAAGGTTTTTGCTTCGTTTACTCTGCTAACTCTTTTTCTACAGCTTCCAAACCGGACCTAAGTTGCTTCTAGTTGCTGTGAAAGCAGTATCCTTTCTGTATACTGTTATATCCGCACTTACCTGAAGAATTGCTCAGTGCCCTGTACTTGGCTACAAACCCCTTGCCCCCGTCGGAATAATCTGATCGGAAGGTTATGTAAAGGTATCTGCCTGATGAATAAACCGGCTCAGGAAGGTGTCTGCCACAGGCTAATTTCGAAACATTTGAGTAGGATTCAGAACCATCGTGTATTTTCACATAGTCACAAGAGCAACAGTTCTCCAGATCGAAGGACGTGAAGTAAATGAGGACTCTCTGATTTATAGGTGCCCGTAAACGCCACTTGCAATTCAAGTTGTTTCCATAGTCGGTGTAAGGGCTGTTAGGAATCTTGATCGAACCAGTACCGCCATACTCCAAATATCTATCATCAACAGAAATTCCACACTCTGTTTACCAAATAAGAGATACGTCAATCAAGAGGTGCATATGTACATAAATGCCCCAATTGAAACAACAAATACCTGTATAAAGGCTACCATGATATTTAGACATTTGTTCACACAAATTTGAATAAAAATTTTAGCATTTACTATAATTTATTCAATTTAATCCGTGAGTCCTCTTGTTCCCTCCATTTTTGTAAATTCTTAAAATACACATGTCTAGATGCAAGACATTTCACAGTACGCAAATTGAATTCTGTTTTTAATTGCACGTTGTGGCACCAAAAAGAACGTAAAATTAATAAATTATACTCACGTCCTGCTACGACCGGAACCTCTTTCAGAAGGAGAGCTGCAAAAAAAAAAAATACAACAATAACCATCAAACTGTGATCAGTCAGGTATCTTGTTGCTATTGGTTGGCGGAGTAATTTGGTTTTGGCAACTTGATTATTATTTTTTTGCAAAAAAATGTTCCACTAGATCAGTTAATAGAGATCCTTTTTTAGGTTTCTTAGATAGCCTGGAATTGTACAGTGTGCCCTGTTTCTATAACCACTTTATGAATAGTCGTAGTTTTGTTAGAGTAATCCTGCGACGGGTATAGCTGACCGTGCGTAGCTCCCATATAAAACTTTGTTGAGTCCGGCGTCCCCCTCCTCCCGGGATAAATAAACAGCTGCCATAGTTACATGGACCTTACATGTTTTATACGTACGTTGACAGGCAAGGAAACAGGCAAGGGAACACATAAATCGACATTAATGTTAAAGGAGTTGACCGCAATCGAATGATAGCAAAGGTAAGATTAGCGCAAGTCTGAAGTCATGCATACAGGCATGATCTCTCACAGACAAGTTTGCGTCATCATTAAACATAGCTTGATTTATGTCCGAGACAAGAGGACAGATTTCTATCGGTTTATTCACGGTGGTTAAGTTCAAAGGAAAATTTTGCAGTGTGTACAATAGAATATCAACATGCTAGAAAAATAGATGTCACGATCTATGCGTGAGCAGCACTTGAAAAAAAGCGATAGATAAGCTTAGTGCGTAATAAGACCTTTTCGCCAGCGTCCCTAGCTTTGGGTAGCTTCCATGCATCATGTATTCTTAATAACATTAAAATACGCAAAGTTTGAATGATTACATGACTTGCGTTTTTCATATTTTTCAGGCAGATGTTTGTAAGAAATCCATGGAACTAATGCACATTCTCAAACTGAAGTTTATAGTGTTTTTTGGCTGATTATCCTTCCCTGTAAATGTAAAATCTTGAAGTTTACTGAGCCGACTTTCGGAGGCCTGCTTGGCAGAGACGCGCGGAATGTTCCACCGAAAAGACAGTCAAATATCAGTAATCAGTTCAATTTTACTTACCCAAGGAAGTCAGGATAAATCCTCTTACAAATACCATCTCAAAACAACCTTACATTCGATGCTGTTTACTAGTGCAACACTTCGTCAAATGAAAACTCACATAAAAAGTGAAACGAGCCTATGCGGAAGTTTTCAGAATACAGTATTGCTTATTGTCAGTGTGGATTAACGTCGTTACACAGAAGGGCTCAGCCTCGTTCCCAGTCGACCTCGGCGATTTCGGATGTGACGTCACCTGTGAAGCATGTCAAGCCTCCTCTTAGTCTCCCCCGCAGCCGATACTAAAAGCGGCTGCGAAGGAGACTAGCCTCCTCTGGGCCCGGTTGCGTAAAACGCCCGTAACAGTTACGGGTATACGTACGTGTACTCGTGACTTAAGTGAGTTGCATCAAATCACTTACGTGGTCCACTTAGGGGTTTCACTTAAGTGACTGCACTTACGATTTTCGTAAGTATCCACTGAAGTGTCATTTATGCAACAGAAATTGCGGGTGTTGCATAAAACCTTTTTTACGGGAAAATTAGCACGTAAATTTACGGGACCTGGTCCCGTATCCTTACTGTTTTTACTAAAGTTAACGAGATCTTTTACCGAGAAGTGAAACAATTTTTTTTTTAATGTAATTCCGTTCAAATGCGCTTTGTTAACCTCTGATGTACAATTTAAAGCCGTCGTTAAGAAAAAAGAAGAACAACAAACATTTCCAGTGGATATTGAAGTAAAATAACGATTTCATGTAAGCTTAATTTGAATGAGAGGCTTAAAAAGGTGTTCGAAACGACTTGACACTTTCTTTACTCTCACCGATGGTTAACTTCATTTTATAAAATAGAGTGAGTCAAATTAATAATTAAAAGTACTATAACAAAGTGACGTGTGCCCTTAAGTGAGCCCGTAAGTTACCACGTAAAACAGAAACTTACGAGAGTGCTAAGTGTGTTCCATGTAACACCCGTAAGTGTACCCATAACGGATTCGTAAGTGACCTACTTAACTGGGCACTTAAGTGCAGGTTTTATGCAACCGGGCCCACCGGGCCCAGGGCCCGGTTGCATAAAACCTAGGTCACTTACGAATCCGTTATGGGTACACTTACGGGTGTTGCATGGAACACACTTAGCACTCTCGTAAGTTTCTGTTTTACGTGGTAACTTACGGGCTCACTTAAGGGCACACGTAACCTTGAAATAGTACTTTATTAACGATTCACTCTTTTTTTGTTAAGCTAACCATCGGTGAGTGTAAAGAAAGTTAAAAGTCGTTTCCAACACTTTTAAGCCTCTCAAAAATGAAATTTGCATACAAACGTTATATGCAAAACGTATTTCTACAGTATATCTACTGAAAATGATAGTTCTTCTTCTTTTTTCACAAAAGTGTACATCAGAGGTTAACAACGCGCATTAGAACGAATTACGAGAAGAAAAATACTTTTTTTCACTTCTCAGTAAAAGATCTCGTTAAATTTAGTAAAAACAGTGACGATACGGGACCTACATAGGTCCCGTAAATTTACGTGCTATTTTTCCCGTAAAAAAAGTTTTATGCAACACCCGCAATTTCTGTTGCATAAACGACACATAAGTGAACACTTACGAAAATCGTAAGTGCAACCACTTAGGTGAATTCCCTAAGTGGACCACTTAAGTGATTTCATGCAACTGACTTAAGTTACGAGTGCACGTACGTGTACCCGTAGTTGTTACGGAC